TGAAAGAACTACATTGTATTCGCAAACAAACTGTTGATTAATCGTCGGGAGAAAGGATATTCGCTTGAAGCTACCGTAAGTATAGTTTCTCGGAAAAATGCGGTAACGCCATTTAATAGCTCTGAATGTGCATAATAATTTTATGATCTAACAAATCTTAAACAAAATATTTAAGTGGTAAAAAAAAAAAACAAAAAAGGTTTGACATGAAAGTTCAGGAAATTTAAAAATGCGAGTCATCGAAATTTGATTGTTATCATTGGGTACAATTTAATGAAAGAAGTTTATAATAATACCCCAAAAAAATATTGTAAAATGTTGATAGAAAAATCTTTTAAACAAAGAAATTCCTTTGTGGTTTGTTTATTTTCCAGACTTTTATTAGCATGTTTATTTTTGTGACAAAATATTTATTCTTCTTAGATTTGCCTGCTGAAAATTGGAGCCAACTCAAAAAAATTTTCAAATCAGTTGTTAATGATTTTTACTTGCAAATTGAAAACCGCAATCTGCCCACAGTTTATTTTATTTTGCCAAAATGAGGCCACCAAATATAAAAGACTATGGTAAACCCTAGATTGGATTTATTTAAGTCAAATTTGCAATGCTTATTTTTAATGATTTAAATCCGAAGTTCATTAGATTTATCTGCAATCTGAAAATTACTAACCACATTTGAACAGTTTCTTTTATAGCATAAATCGAAGGGCTTTCAAACCAATCTATAAAATAATCCAGATTACCATTAAATTGAACCAATTACCTTCTCAATTAAAAGCTATAAATTATTTGCATTCAATGTTAATTATAGGTATCTGCAAATCTGCCAATTAAAAACCTCAATTTGCGAATAATTTCATTTATTGGATTAAAGAAAGGGCACATAATAATGAGACAGCATTACGCTAACGTTTGTGTGAATTACAAATATCTGTTAACAGCTTTGGTTTTGAAACGAAATGAGTTTTATAATTAATGGCCAATTATGAGGCTCAATAGCTCCGCGTACTTAAAGCACATACCGGTTTGCCAGACTGCTCTAAATTACACATTTTAATAAAAATTACGGTCAAACGTTGTTTTTAAAAACCACTCGAAGCCGTTGGCGGTAAACAACTGACCCAAGCGTTGCGTTGAAAGTAGCAAATCTTTTAATTACAGCCAAGACAATTATTTTGAGATCCAATGCGAGCGACCTTCAGTTTTCCATTGCGGGTCTTTCGACAAAAGGTTTCCAGTCGACCAAAGACCAAAAACCAAAGCTGAATTAAAAAAAACCACATTGTTTGGCACCCGCAGTGGCCTTTTGAATGCCTCGCATTGATTTCTATTTATTGCATTCTAAGTTCGGTGTTTTCGATTCGGCTCTGGTACTTTGATATAAATCTTGGAGTCTTGACAGCTGTGATATATGCTCCACGAGATAGACAATTCGTTTTCCTTTCTTCTGACCATTAAGCAATCGGCGAATAATTCATCTAGAACATTTAAATCGATCATTTAGATCAGGTTTGCGATCGTTCATGACTTATTACGCTTGAATTGATATGTGGGCTTTACTTTCTCTCTCGATCGGAATCTTAAGCCTGTTATGCAAACGCAGTCAATAGAGTGACGTGAGCCTTAATACTTTCATATATTTCACTTGACGACTTGCCATTCACCTGGTGGTCTTAAGTCTTGAGTCTTAACGGTTATGCTACTTCGAGCTGCCATTTAGCTGAAAACCCAGAAGTCATTTGCGATCATTGGGCCGCAGGTATGTAAATCTGTGCAGGTGTTGTATCCGTCTTTGTAGCTCGATCTCACATAAAATTAATTTATTGTATAGGAAATAATGAGACCTGCGCCTCGAGTCACGACACCTCCAACAATGGCACAGATTAGTTTTGGGAACTACTAAATATCATCTGAAATGACAAGAGACAGCCGCCTGTGCGACTGGCAACCCCATTCGAATCAGTTTAGTTGCATATAAATCACTTCTGGTGTTCAAATTGGCTAATTAGGCCAGTTACATATACCAAATCGCTCCAGAATTGCGTGAGCAAAAACAGGTAAACCGCACACAAATCTGGAATTAATAACTTGGCCAACTACAATGTAAATGAGTTGGTTTCGAAAAGACAGGATTACATATCTTAAATTGGAAAGCCAATTAAGTCAATATATTTTTACGCACTAAATGGCTAAAAATAACTTGAGAAATATACAGTAGCCACTGGTCACCTAGAGAAGTGGGCGTTTTTACGGGCGTTGCACCCGAACTCGTGCTCAAGTTGGCTTGCCAAATCCAATCGAAGGCACTGCCTGAAATCGCTTGGCTCGGACTCTTTCATGGCAGACAGAGTGGCGCGTGCGCAGCCCACATGGCGGGTTTTTCGCCCCAAGAACCACAAGAGCACCCCACAAAGCTCGAGCAATTATTGCAATTACCTGGGCGAATTAAACAATCGCATATTAATTAATTAGCTGGGGAGTTTGTGGAATGTGGGCGATGACCAAAGACTTTCAAAATATGTGGCTAGTTACCTTAGACAAAGGATAATAATTAATTTTATATTTATTAAAATGTAACGATTTTAACATTCATCTTATTTTTCTACACTATAACAGGCATACAAAATCGTCACTCGTAAAAGAATTTAAAATATTTATTTGATTAAATATCCAAGTACTTAAATTTAACTTTCATTTCCTTAACTAATTTTAAAACTCATCTTGAAACACCTGCCTCTAGTTAAACTCCAGCTGTTTTTATTTTTAAGTACTTAATGTTCCAAAGCGGAATCACTACTAACTTTAACTTTAGTAGCCAGCGATAAAAGCCTTTTATGCGCTTGGTTTCATATTTAAATTCCTTTTGCATAACAAATGGTAAGGTGAGACGAATGCCATGACTTAATACCCATTGCAGTCGGCGAACTCCCATTGATCCAATTGACTCAATCGATCCAAAACCGACACAAATGCAGGCCGAAGAAAGCGATCCAACCAGTTTGGCCAATTTCACCTAAGTAAATAATTTCAGCTTCGATCTCGGCGTCGGTTTCAATTTCAAAGTCAAGGTCTCCGTCCCCGAATTCGCAACCGAAACCAAAAACCGACGAGATTGCAACGGTCAACGGCAGCCGGTGGCCACATGGTCCGTCCATAATTGGCCCCCATTACCACTTCACTCGGTCCGTAACCGATCGTCTCGTCGGTTAGCTGATTCACGGGGCGTCTGTCACGACTTGTGAATGGGAGGCTCGAGATTATCTCTCCTTCACCATTATAATCCTACAGACATCATAATCCCAGGCAAGAAGGTCGCAAAGGCGATTAATAGTGCTGGGAATATATGCGATTAAATAAGGGCGGCGATCTTTGTAAAGATTGCGTGAATGCATATCCAGAAAAACGAGCCGACATTGCAGTAACACATTTTTCGAGTGCGATACACCTTAATGAAGAAATTGTATCTCGCGTGCCCCACGAATTGTCTTCGGTAGCTTCCGTTTTCATTCATTTTCATTGTAAATATGTTGTGCTATTGCAAGAGTTTTCCCTGCTCTGGTTGGCATTGTCACTGCCGTATTTTGCGTGTTAACCGGACCATCGTAATTACATTAGATTTAATTGCCGCAAGTCAATACAATACCTATGCGATATTCAACCAGGTAGCGGATCATAAAACGTTGTCTCTGGCGTATTTCTTTGTTTTACATGGCGCGACACTGAGCTTAATTAGTCGGAGTGCCCGTCGCGTCTCACCTGGCTCACTTGAGATGGCGGCACACGTTCGTCTCATCATTTCATAGCACTTCAAGCCATCAGTCAAACCGAAAAGGAAACTTGAAGCCGGTTGTCGTCGGCTTGATTAAAATGTTATGGCCACCAACTGCAGACAAGCAAATCTATTAACAGCTAATAAACAAGCACCACAAAGCCTATTTTAAGCGGCTATCTAGTGGCAAATCTTTAGTTCACTAATTACTATTACATTTTTATTAAATTTCCAATAAAAAAGTTTAACTTTCCTGGGTGAAATGCTTATTAAGGCTACCAACTGCAGACAAGCCATAATATGAACAGCGAATAATTATCTGCCTAGTGGTAAATCTATAAAAATATTATTTACATTTCCCTTTCTTTCTTGGAATAACTATAAAAAATAATGTTCGAGTTTAAGAAGGTTTACTATTATTTTTATCGTACAATTTAGAGTTTTTATGTTATGGTTAAAAATATAGTTTAGCGAAAAACCATATTTTTTAATTGTTAATATATTAACCTCCATATAAGCTTCCATATTTTTATTGAGTAAATAGCCCCATGCCATCTAATCTGATCTGAATGCAGTCAATTAAATGTAATAATCCATTTAGCAACAGCCAGAGTTGGGTGACCTGGCGAAACGTTTCAGATTAGCCCACAGTAGTCGTAAAATGACTTTTTAAGCACTCGTATACTTTTATTATGATCTCCTATTTCGCTACACTTCAAAACAATTTTAATTATGGAAACAAGATCATAAGATATATTTCAGCTTAAAGCCAGTAGCAACTGTTTAAGAAATGCGGCTCCCATGATAATTCTCAGCACTTGGGTCATATTATATGTTTATATGTTGTATAATTAAAAGTAAAGCAAGCGGCCTGAGACCCGAAGACCTACTGTGCTGGCAGCATTGGAGTCGTGATATGTCAGCCCGAGTGGCGAAAGGCAAAGGCACAGGCGGCGGATATATGTAGGCATGTTTACTCAGATCAAGAACGTCGACTCGAGTTCGATTCGAGGCTTGTGGTTATTTTTTTTTTTTCTAAATTGTAAATAAGCTGGCAAAACAAAAACAGAAAGACAAATCACGCCGGGGGTCTCGCAGCCATCGACCCATTGAGTCTATTGCGATAATGTTGACTGCAGCCAGTGGCTGACGCAGTTGATTAGGTGCGAATGTACGTGTGTATTTGACAACATTAAATTCTGGGTTTAAAACTGGGCAACATGATGGGCATCTAGATGTTAAGCTTCACGTCCTGGACGTTCTTCAGGGCATCAGAGTAGCGTGCCAGCACGGGTTCCACCTCCTCCTTGACGAACTCGCCCACCTGGTCGCTGGCTCGGCCAGTGAAGGTCTTGGCATCCAGAATCGTGTCCAGCTGCTCCAGGATGGGCGAAAAGTACGGGTCCTTTCGCACTCGCTCCACCAGATCGTTGTCCTTGCCGTGCTGCTTCACCTGGGCGCCGGCCTCCTGGGACAGCACGCGAATCTTCTCGTGGCACACCTGCCGATCTCCGCCCGCCTTCACCATGGCCATGATGATGTTCTCCGTGGACATGAAGGGCAGCTCTTGGGCGATATGCCGCTCAATCACTTTCGGGTAGACGACCAATCCCTGCGAGATATTCAGCAGAGTGAGCAGAGCGGCATCGGCAGCCAGGAAGGCCTCGGAAAGGGTCAACCGTCGGTTGGCCGAGTCATCCAGGGTGCGCTCCAGCCACTGAGTGGCATGGGTATTGGCGGCACTGCTGAACAAGGTGATGAGGTGTCGGGCCAACGCGCAACAGCGTTCGGAGCGCATGGGATTCCTCTTGTAGGGCATGGCCGAAGAGCCAATCTGGGTGCTCTCGAAGGGCTCCTCCAGTTCCTTGCGAGAGGCCAGGATGCGCAGATCGGAGCACATCTTGTGGATGGTGGTGCCCAGGCTGGAAAGAGCGCCCACAATCTCCACATCAACCTTCCTGGAGTAGGTTTGTCCGGTAACCGCATAGGCCTTCTTGAAGCCAGCCAGCTCGGTGACCAACTGATCCAGCTGCTTCACCTTCTCTCCATCGCCATTAAAGAGTTGCAGGAACGAGGCCTGGGTGCCAGTGGTTCCCTTAACCCCGCGGAAGCGCAGATCCTCCAGGCAGCGGTTCAGGGCTCGCTCGTCCATTATTAGATCCTGAATCCACAGGCAGGCTCGCTTGCCCACCGTGGTCAGCTGGGCGGGCTGCAGATGGGTGAATCCCAGCGTGGGCTGATCCTTGTAGCTCTGGGCAAACTGGCTGAGTTGGGCAATCACGCTGGCCACCCGAGGTAGAAGCAGTTTCAGCGAATCCCGGAGAACAATCAGATCCGTGTTGTCGCCCACATAGCACGAGGTGGCTCCCAAATGGATGACCGGGGCGGCGGATGGGCATTGCTTGGCGAAAACGTGGACATGGGCCATTACGTCGTGGCGGGTTAGGCGCTCCTCGGCTGCCGCCGCCTCGAAGTCGATGTTGCTGATCTGGGACTCCATCTCGGCGATCTGGGAGTCGCTGATCTCCAGTCCCAGCCTGCTCTCCGCCCTCGCCAGCCACACCCACAACCGGCGCCAGGTGGAGAACTTGTTCTGGTCGCTGAACAGGAACTGCATCTCCTTGCTGGCGTACCGGGTGCTCAGAGGCGACTTGTAGCCCTCGTAGTTGCTGGCCATCTCGGTGGATTATGTAGTATGGGGAAAGATGCTGTGGGTGTGATATAAAGCACGTAATTAGCCGTAATTGCTGGCGAAGAGTCGAAAAACAACTGTTGCTTCTAATCAGCGGTTCTCTCACATGTGGCGAAATAGTATGACCGCCGGCAGGGCGCTGAAATATACCATTCATGGAGAAATATACCAAAATTCGGAAATATAACGTTATTCTATTATTCAAAATCAAACGTATCAAAGATTTTAAAATTAATTAAAGGTTTTAACTGAGTTTCAAGCGAGCCCTGTTCGCTTATATTTTTTACAAAAAGAGAAAAAGATATTTTTAAAACGTAGAATAGGTCTCTAGATTGAATAATTAGCAAATACCACTAGGTTATAGTCTGTAAACTCCCTTGAACAAATTAGAATCATTTAATAGTGCGATTAGCTTTCAACACGTTTAAAATTGGCTTACGTTTGTTCAATTAAATGTAAATGATCTGAAATCTCTTAAGCTGTAAGAAACTTGATATTTTTAACTGGCTGAGACAAGGGGCATTCTATCATAAAATCGAGTTTGTACAAGGTAGTGGTTTAAGCTGTTTGACTAATTTTTAGTTATTAAATTCAAAAATCAATCAAAACAGGTAAAAATCAACAGCTTTTTTTATCATTTGATTAAAATAACTGCTTCATGTAAAACAAGTAATAAAATCAAACATCAAAAGCGTAGACAAGATAATAAAATATAAAAAAAATTAATGACAACATAAAAACTAGTAAATAAATCAATAAAGATTTAAAAATAGCCCCATAAACTAAAATAATGGGTTTTCTAAGTGAACTAGTTTAAAATAGTTGACCTCATAAAGTAAATGTTAATCTCTTCCACTAAAATCTAAAAATTGTTTGCGCTAAAAGATACAAAACAGTATGTTGATGACAATTTTAATTTGCATCGCGTAAAGCCAAAACATAAAAAATAATCACCGTCCAAAAATAGTGGCCACTTGGAACAGAACTGGTCCGCCGAAATCGGTGCAAGACAGTTAAGAATCAATTAGTGCGTTGCATCTAAGGCGATTGCAAATTGCATTTGGCATGTGTGAAAATATCCAAATGGCTGCCAAATTCAGAAGGCTGAAAAATTCGCCGGCCAAATGACCAGCTTCCAAGAGTTCCAAGAGCGTGGGCCTGGGCACGAGATCTCGATTCCGATTTCGATCTCGATCTCTCAGTCCCCCCGAGATTGGGTGATCTAACCCAAGTGGTTGCGCAATTCGCCGGAGACTTTTGGCTATGAAATTGCATATTGACGGCGTTTTGACAAAAAGCAGCCATTGCCTTGCATAAATTTTGATTTGAAACGTCGCTCTGCAGACACCACACACACATTTTGTAATTAACGCGCGGATCTCGTGAGTTTCGAAATTCGGGGGAGCCGTAAAACAAACGAAAATACCAGAGCAGTGACAGCTTCTGATGGGTCCCGGTATTGGTGCCCAATCGCAATCGCAGTTTTAGGTGCCCGACGCTTGGGACACTTTCCTTTTAAATGGCCATTTCAATTAGTGCTTGTTACTGTATCGGTCGGACAAATCGGAATGTCCTCGATTTGTGTGCACGCCACGTAGTCGCGTTTTTCATACCTATTCCGATTCCTCCTTCAGAGAGCCCGATCCCGAGCTCCGATTGCAATGATGTTGTCGCTCTCCGGTTTTAGAGCATGTCTTATATGGAATATGGCCGGCCATAGCCAGCCAATAAATCAATCACGGCAGCACCAGGCGTCCCATGCACTATTTTACACTTTAATGATCACCAAATAGCTCGGGATATGAATTCGTTTTTAATTAGAAGTCGTTAAAGTCGTAAAAAATTTGCTCGCATTGGCCAATTTTGTCGATGGATCTGGCCAACTTGGCCACGCCTTTGATGGAGGCCCACTTTTGGGTGCACCTGCACATGTAAGTGCATGGCTCTATTACGTATGGTCTATGTCAATCATGAAATTATCCCAAGATAAGGAGTGCAGAAATGGCATGGACATGGCCAACAACAAATTGAGCCCTTCCCGCCAACATGACGTAACGTTTTCATCGGCCTATTGTTGTTATGTGTGTTTGAAAAACCCATAACTCATTATTTGGTATGCGGTCTTAATTTAGGGAAAGTCAATCAAACCGAATCATAAATCAAAGTTTGCAGACTGTGCAGTCGTAAAACATTGTTTTATTGTTTATGGTTTTAACCAGTTTCTAAATTAATGGTAAGCTTTGAAAAGATCATTAGGTTAGTCTAGCCGATTCTTTTAGTCAAACTTTTTGGTATACAATTTACGCCAGCGGGTAATAACTCTATCGTTGTGAAATTTTGGAATTTAGGGATTCAAGCAATTCATTTTGGAGAGGTTGGAGTTAAGAAAGTTCAAAGAAGATTGAAGTAGAAAAGGAAAATAAAAGCTAGAATTTTTATTGAGGGTAGAAACCTCCACGGAATAGTGGAGTGCTCTTAGATCTTTTTTAACTTGTATCTTTAAAAACCTCTTTTTGAATTGCATCAGGGATAGTAAAATTAATGTAGTCCCACTTGATTTGCTCGCTTCAAGAATGTCTGTCCACAATGGTCGTTAAAAATATGTATATGAATGCATTAATTTTTTAGAAAGGGACTGCATGGTGAATTAGAATATAATCATGCATTCAAGCGGTTCTAAAAACATCGCTGACAGCTCAAGAATATTGTTGTGTCCATTTCAACCACGACATGTCCATCTAAGCATTCGAATATCAACTAGATCTTTCAGAGCATTTCTTGTGTTCTGCTACAGATTTCAGCGATAGAAAATATCAGATATTTTTATGTCGCGTCATTCGTGCTTAGTTGCAGCTCATTAAGATTAAAAGCCACAATGTAGATGACGGCCCTGACCAACGGCTGCTGTTTTCTGTGCTAAACTTGCACATGGATTGGATTGGCTTGCCTTGGCGTGTCCGCCTGAGACTGCAATTCAAATTTAAATTCGAATTCAGATGGAGACTCGAAGTACGGCGCTCTTTCCTATTGACAAGCGTTAACGTTGGCGTTGCGGTTTTAAAATCCAGCCAATCATCGGCTTCAATCACCCGCTGACCCCATTCGAATTTAGAAACTCAAGAGATGCACTCGGAAAAATATTAGAAATTGTTTAGGTACCCTGAAACTTAAGTAGGTTTATTTTAAAATATTTATGTAAAGAAATAATATTTTCTATAATTCATTTAAAATAAATTATCATTAGGTTTGTATTATTTTCTTTTAGAAAAACAGGAAGCTAGAACTAACCAATTTTTGAACGCTATTTTTTAGGAATAACTTTATTAATTAGCCAAGGGCCGCTTTTAGTACGAGTGTAGGCGTGGGTTTTTCCTGGAGAGGGCCACCTCCAATCGGCCGATCAATTTGGACCCAGGGTCCAGGAAAGTGTAAGACTCATGGCACGAACTCGAATTGTTGTCTGGGTCCATTGTTCTGCACGGCATGCAATTAAAACATTGACAGAGGCTGCCTTTGTTTTATTTTTGTTTTTATTTTTATTTCTATTTTGTGTGGTTTCTGCCACGGCTGCCGATGGATGCGGATTTGCATGCAGCAGCAGCTGGAGGTGGCCTTTTGTGGAAAAGGTTGGGAATCGACTTGGCTTAGTCGGCAGAACGGGGCCGCCGACAAATTCATTATGTAAAGCTAACCATTACTGTCGATTCGGTCTGTTTACATAAGTAGCTTGCAAATTGGTCAAATATGCCGTTGCCATAAAACAATTATGAGACTTTTCACGCTTTTGCACGCCTTGAGCCCACGAATTTGAATCTCAAACCGATGCATTGTGCTCAGATTTTAGCTGGGGGTTTGGTTCGGTTTTCGGTGCCATATAGTACACATAATACCCAAATAGCCGGGGAACGAGCAATGAACATGTTCGTACTAAAATGTCGCAATAAATAATAATGAATGCGCACCAAAACGGTGATGAAACCAGTTGTGACCATATGTGAGCCCAAGGAGTTGGAGTCCAGATCGATCGGCTGCCGCAAAAAATGCAAAACGTTCCACTTGTAGTTCACTTGCCGTCCGCAGCCGGCGAACATGAAATGTGTCCAATGTGTCCAACGTGTCCAAGTCGGTAGTGTTGGTAGTGTTGGCTTCAGGTTCCAGCCGATGGGATACCTACAATGTATGCTCTTTTGGCCAACTGCAGGTACCTCTGCAAAAAGTTTCGGTTTTTATGTGGCTTTTATGCACCATACGAGCACTACAGCTCCACATAAATTGCTGAATGTGTTAGGAGTGCTAACCACTTTTTCCCATGTAGTTCAGGATGCCATAACGAAAGATTGTCTATGGCCGCAAATGGCGCAGACCTTGGACTACAATGTTCTCGATTAATATGTCTTATTTCGAACAGAAAAGGTAAATTCCTTAGACCGATATCAATAAGAATTTTGTCAGAAGAATTTCTCAATATTTATTGCAATCAATAAAGTTTTTATGTGTTAAGAAATCTGTTTTATTATTAAATTATTTTCAACGTATCAAAATTAATAAGTAAAAAATAGTATTACATTTTATCCATTTTAATTACAGATGTTTAGGGCACGAGATCTTCTGCTCTTGGCCCTGTTGGGATTGGTCTCAAGTGCATTAGGACTCAAAGTTTCCTCGGGCTATCACATTGTCCACAATCAACCTCAACCAGCTTTTCCAAACAATTATCATGGATTTAGTTACCTCCAAGGGTCGGCTCCTTATGTTATAGGGTAAGTTTAAGGAGCTCCTGATTTTGGTTTTTTTTTCTTAACAATTGATTGTCCTTTAGGAATAGCCTGCCCACTTCTCCCGCTCCCCAACATCCATTTTCATCGCCGGCCAGTCCTCCGGTATCAGCTTATGGCTACAGTTTTCCCACTGCGGGTCAAGTGTCATGTGCTGCTCCTCCGGCAATTTGCGAGAAGACCGCCTACCGCTCATTGGACGGCTCCTGCAATCACCTGGAACGTCCTGGTTTGGGAGTGGCCAACTCCAGGTAAACTTTATTTAATATTTAGATTTTTTATGTTTTTAATTTTAAAATTTTTTATAGGTATGGTCGCCTGATGACACCTAAATATGCCGATGGCATATCGGCACCCACGAGATCGGTGACTGGCGACGAACTGCCCAGTGCTCGTCTGGTTTCCCTGGTGGCTTTCGGAGAACAGGATGTGCCCGATCCAGAGTTCACGCTCCACAACATGCAGTGGGGTCAAATTATGACCCATGATATGAGCATGCAGGCAGGAGGCACTCAGTCGAGTAAGTTCTTTATAAGTTACTTCCCAAAAATAAGTATTTTAATCAGGGAGCGAAAATAATCGTTATTTAAAAATAAAAATCAACAAGAAAGAATTGAGCTACATATATGTGCCGTATGCCAAATATTTTGTTATTTCCTCCATGTTCTAAAAATAAAATAAACTCTTATTTTTATTTTTTTAAATCTTAAATAATCGTTACAAATTTTTCAAATCCCAAATAATTGGTATTTTGGACTATTGTTAAAATATTTTATTGGATTTTTCTTACAGAAAAACATCCCACTCGTTGCTGTACCGACGATGGTCGTCTGATTGGCCTGGACACCGCCCACAAGACCTGTTTCGCCATCATTGTGCCGCCCCACGATCCCGCCTACTCCCAGGTGGGCACCGAGTGCCTCAATTTCGTACGCACCCTCACCGATCGCGACTCGAATTGCCAGTACCACGGCGGTCCGGCGGAGCAGATAACTGTGGTCACCTCGTACCTGGATCTCTCGCTGGTCTACGGCAATTCCATTCAGCAGAACAGCGATATTCGGGAGTTCCAGGGCGGTCGGATGATCGTGGAGGAGCGAAACGGAGCCAAGTGGATGCCACTTTCGCGAAATGTCACCGGCGACTGTGACGCCGTGGATGCCAGCGAGGTGTGCTACCGTTCCGGCGACGTGAGGGTCAACCAGAATCCTGGTTTGGCCATCCTGCAGACTATCCTGCTGCGCGAGCACAATCGCATTGCGGATCACTTGTCCGCCTTGAATCCGCACTACGATGATCGCACGCTGTTCCAGGAGGCGCGCAAGATCAACATTGCCCAGTATCAACAGATCAGCTACTACGAATGGCTGCCCATCTTTCTGGGAGGCGAGAACATGCTCAAGAACCGACTGATCTACAAGGCTCCCTCGGGAAGCTACATCAACGACTTCGATCACAACATCGATCCTTCGGTCCTGAATGAACATGCGACGGCCGCTTTCAGATACTTCCATTCGCAGATTGAAGGTCGTTTAGAGTAAGTATCGATTTCTGTTTAGTTTAGGATTACATTTTAGTGTTTTATAAATTTTTATAAAGCAGATAGTTACACCCAAAAAAAATCTATATGAAACGTAGATCGGTGTTACATTATGTAATATCAATTTTAAATTGATATGCAGCCGGGTAAATTTGATATGCTCGAAAAAAATATTTCATATAAAAAACGATATGCGTATTGCATAACCAGAAATTTACATGCACATATCGATTTTACAGTGACATGCTTTTTTTGTGTATACTTAAATTTTTTTTTAAATTTTTATATTATATCTTATTCTGATTACAGCCTCCTTTCCGAGCTGCGACAAGTCCTTGGATCCCTGACCCTCAGCGACTGGTTCAACCGTCCCGGCATTATCGAGGTGGGAGATAACTTTGATTCCTTGACCAGAGGACATGCCACACAGCCCGAGGAATTGACTGATATCAACTTTGACAGACAGGTGGGTTCATAAATACACCATATTTTCGAACTCCTCTCATGCTTTTCCTTTGCAGATCAAGCACTTCCTGTTCAGGAGAAACATGCCTTTCGGTTCGGATCTGCGATCCCTGGACATTCAGCGCAATCGCGATCACGGTTTGGCCTCCTACAACGACATGCGGGAATTCTGCGGACTGAAGCGTGCTCACTCGTGGGAGGATTACGGTGACCTGATCAGTCCCCCGATTCTGGAGACCCTCAAGTCCCTGTACTTAAGTCACGATGACGTGGATCTGACGGTGGGAGCCTCGTTGGAGGCTCATGTGGCCGGTGCTTTGGCTGGACCCACATTCCTTTGCATCCTCACCGAACAGTTCTACCGAACACGAGTGGGCGATCGGTTCTTCTTCGAGAACGGAGACAAGCTCACTGGATTTACGCCCGGTAATTGAAAATATACCTACTATAATTTCAAAGTTTATAATATTTAATATCATACCATAGATCAACTGGAAGAGCTGCGAAAGGCAAGTATGGCCCGTTTGCTGTGCGACAATGGCAACCACATTTCATCTATGCAGCCCGAGGCTTTCAGAACTGTTTCCCACTCGTAAGTAGAAATAAAAGATAACTAATTTTTAAAAATCTAATCCAATGATTGATTTTAGTAACCCTATCATGCCGTGCTCGAATATTCCACAAGTCGACCTCACCAAGTGGATTGATCAAAAGCCATATGCCGCGGTAGCTCCCTCTCATTATGGAAAGAAGTGATCCCTTGCGATCTATTATTAACTAGTTGAATACAAATACCTTTTAGCTTAATCAGTAAAATAATCATAAATGCAATACTCCCGCCCCCTTGTATGATAATGCCCCCAAAACTGATGTACAGAAATAAAGCCTTTACCAATTAATTAATAATATTGATGTGATTTTCGGTTAGAAGGCAGAGACCAAAAGTCAAGGGCATTAGAAATCCGATTAATGTCGAAGATCAAGAATGATACCCAGCCACGCCCCTTTTCTTACGCAATACAGACGGTCAACTTTCGTTGACTCTGGGATCACTATAGATCGATGATCGATAGATCGATCGGGGTTAATCATATGTAGGCGCGCGACCGAGGTGTGAACAACTTGATAGAAACGGCCAATTAAGAGACAAAACGCTTTTTTCTGCCATTTTTGACTCATTGTTGATTCGAATCGTAAAGCCAGACAATCGATGGACAAAGAATTTGTTCTTTTTTATGCGTACATCTTCTGTGTATTCATATGCGAGTTTACATATTAATACTTCAGAGGCGGTCCACTTTTTGAATGGACATAAATTTGCATAAGTTAAGAGAGAACTTCGCAAGATATCATTATCATCTCGACCAGGTTTGCATATTTTCCGAGAGATTTTGGCGAGCAGATTTCTGAATGGACATGATATAACGGTTCTGGTGAATCTAGATTAATGAAAGTGATTTAAACAAAGTGTGCATATGAGATTAACAGTCCATAAGGCGGTATAAAAGTGATCCATCCGCTGGCGAAAGGCAGCAGATGCCATTTCGCCATGAGACTGTTCGCAGTGATTTTCTGGCTAGGTAAGGGATTTCCCCCGATGGATATTATGGTTTTAACCGGATTGAACTGATTTCTCTATGCTAATTATTACCCTTACAGGCTGGGCTTTTGGCCAAGCGAGTGCCAAGAATCCGGCTCCCGAGTCGGCCAGATTGTTAGCCGCCCTCCAAGCAGCACCCGCTCCGGCGCCAGCACAAAGTGTGGTCTACAAACTGCCACCGCAGCACTATTACCCACCTCCTCCGCCGCCGCCACCACCGCCGCAGCACTGCAACTGTCCGCCGGGGCCACCGGGTCCTCCGGGACCTCCAGGCTTGCCAGGTCTCCCTGGTCAGCAGGGTCCCAAGGGACACAGCGGATCGAAGGGCGAACGGGGGGAGAAGGGAGAGCGCGGACATCACGGATTACCAGGCCAACAGGGGCCACCGGGTCCCATTGGTCCACCTGGTTTTCCCGGTCCACCAGGTCATAAATCGGGAAGCAATCACCATGGTCATGGTCACGATCATGATCACGATCACCACCACAACCACCACCACCATAATCCACCACCACCTCCGCCTCCTCCACCACCACCAGTCCTGCCGCCTCCCGTTATAATTCCCGTCCCATTGCCACCCCCACCACCCCCGCACAAAGGCGACCACCATCATCACCACAAGGGATCCAAGGGCCCACCCGGACCACCAGGACCACCGGGTAAGTGACTTATAAATACTTAAACTATAGCAGGATCTTAGAAATAAAATATATCACCTAAATTATATATTATAACGCATTAATTTTTAATAAAGCCGATAGATATTCCCTAAATTAATGGTTAAATCTTGCATCTCTTACAGGAATGGGACCACCTGGACTTCCAGGACCGCCAGGCCCCACGTATCCACCTCCACCACCTCCTCCTCCGCCGCCACCACCGCCAGTTTACCCACCGTATCCTTACCCGTATCCCCCACCCGGACCCTACCCAGGACCAGGACCTCAAGTGCCGTGGATTCCCGTGCCAGTGCCAGTCCCTTGGCCTTCAAAGGGACACAAGGGCGACAAGGGCCACAAGGGAGGACACAAGGGCGATAAGGGCGGACACCACCATCACTACTATCCACCGGGACACAATAAGGGCGGGCATTACCCGTATCCACCCCACGACGGCGGACATGGAGGCCACCATCATCCACCTTACCCGCCACCCTATCCACCGCACTATCCACCTGGCGACAAGGGGCATCATCACCATCATCCCTCCCACAATCACGGGGGAGGAAATGACGGGCACAACCATCATCATCCCTCCCACAATCATGGATATCCTGGAAATGACGGGCACAACCATCACCATCCCTCCCACAATCATGGACATCCTGGAAATGACGGGCACAACCACCATCATCCCTCCCACAATCACGGAGCAGGAAATGACGGGCATAACCATCATCATCCATCCCACAATCACGGAGGGCACAGCCAACATCATCCCTCCCACAATCACGGAGGACATGGCCAACATCCTCCACACGGAAACGGCGGACACAGCCACAATCATCACCACCATCACAATGGAACTGTTCCGCAAAAGCCCACTGATCCAGAACCAGGCGATGGTGGCCAACAAACTCCCCGCGACGATCTGGACTTGATTGATGAAGATGTGGAGATCGTCGAGAACATAATCGATGACAAGGACTTTATGGAGGGTGAGGGCGAGGAAGAAATGCCCCAGGAAGTTTATGATTTCGAAACGGACCCCGAGGACGCAGGCTATATGGGTTACGAGGATAACACAGTGGAGAATCCAACACGTCCCGATTCCGCTGAAGAAACTAATGAGGAAGATCAAAATTTAGCTGCTGAAAACTACGTAGAAGAAGAGGCGGTAGAAGACGAACCTATAATGGAGGATCAGGTGGACATGGTCAATTTAATGGAGGATAACCAGTCTTTTGACGGTTATGCAATCGAGGGTCGAACCAACAAACGCCCAGTTATCCTGGCCTTTGGAACTCCTAGAAACCCCTTTCACATTTATGCCTATGAACAGTATAAAACGTAACAAAGCCAATGATACACGAAAATAAAAAAATTGAAATATATAACTTATGCAGTGTTTTTCTTGACTGGTTAATAAGCTTAATATATCGGTGTTTTAGATAGCTATATCACCTATTGTCCCCTCCCCTCATTGCATTAAGTAAATAGGTTACTCAGATACTAAAAAATAAATGGGGAATCACATTTTTAATTGATTTCCTTTTGTTTGGACCAATATTAATATAAACGTTTGTTTCACCGTTTCAATAGCATTTAAATCACTCATTATACCAAATAAACAACAAAAATGTATTGGACCTTTTTTAACTTAACTTTATTAATAAGATCATCTTCTGGAATTCGTAGGGCATAAAAGTTTAAATAAATTAGCAATAAACCAGCTTTTTGTTAGCGAAATAGTTCCGTTGTTCTTAGAAATTGCTTTGGCTTTGTGGGCATTTCTATAAATTAACAATAGACAAAGCCATGAAAAGTGAAATCACAAAGAAATAAAACAATTAAATCAATGACGACCGAATGAATTTCTCAATTCAATATCATTTTTGAAAATACAATAGCATATTGTTGAAACTTAACAGCCAGACAAGTAAAAGTGGTTTGTTCGAACTTTGAACTGCAAATATATTTTAAAAATTTAATATGTATGACTCATACATACTAAGTTACTTTTCACATCTTCTTGAAAGAACGGAACATTATAATAACAAGGAAAAAAATATAAATGGACAAAACAGATTAGCCCAATATTTAAATCAATATACTAGATCATAAATAACATGAATTTCCAATTTTAAGTCATTCCAGACAGTTTTAAGTTTTCGTGCATCTAATTGATCCACTACTTTATTACCTTTAAGAATTCTGTGTGTCTCATCTCGGATTTCGCTACTTAAAATCCATTTGTATGATCACCATAAAAAAAAACAAACGTTAGTATCCATAAAAACAGATAAGGCAGATTGTTCCATTTTTGCGGTATCTCTTTTTTATTGCTCCTAATAAATAAAACAAAGGGTGCAGAAATAGAACAAAGAATAAAATAAATAATTTAGAAACTAAAAGTGAAGAGAGCTTTTAAAAATAGTTAAAACCATAATTATAGGACTTTAAATTGGGAATCCGTTTTAAAATTTTGTAATAATTTAGACAAAATAAATAATAAAATGCTTCCATAACCACAAACTAATCCCAGATCTTGAACATTGGGCCTTCTGGGGTTAAATTTATGCAAAATCATTTAGCTGGCTCAGATTTGAAATCCGCGATTTGAATTTTACGTGTTTCCAATTAACCCATTATAGTTCTCACCCATCCCAGGGGTCTATATAAGACGAGTTCTAAGTCGGACAGGTGTTCATTCACGAAAGTAGGGAGCCAAAATGAGGCTGCTCGCGATTTTGCTGTTATCAGGTGAGTCAAGAGAGGATCTCAGTTTAAGAGCAATCCGTGATTTTATTTAATGTTGTGTTTTTTAGCCATTTCAACTTTCTGCGAGGGATCGTGGACGTTGAGCTCAGTTCAGCCGGTTAGAACAGAGTCTCGTCCAAAGCAGAAAAAGCCACACTATAAAAACTATGACCTGTACTATTACAGTCCTGAAACGATAGGCTCGTCCTTCTACTACGGATCTCAGACGAATTGTCAGTGCCGTCCAGGACCTCCGGGTCCACCTGGTCCACCGGGACCACCTGGCTTGGCAGGTGAGGAAGGAGCGCCCGGTGAAAGGGGAGATCGAGGGGATCCTGGAGAAAAGGGACAGCGAGGAAGAAGTGGTCGACCGGGTTATAGTGGATTTCCGGGACCCATAGGTCCACCAGGTGCTCCCGGAAAAAAAGGTCCAACAATCATTTATCTACCAGCAAAGGAGGACAAACCGCCCAAAAAAGAAACCCCAAAGGGCAGCAATGAAAGTCCACCATCAAAACCAGATAACAGAAAGACTGCTATAAAAACTAATAAACTTCGGGGACCACAGCCCTTGCGGGGAAATTCTAATGGAATGAAGCTAGTAAAAGTCAGCTCGCAACTGACCCAAAACCACAAAAACCTAAACCGAAAGAGACCAACTGCTTCCCCGCTTTCCAATCGCAAAAGAATCAATCAGAGTAACAAGATAAGCTCATCAAATAAAAACAGAAAAACACTGGTTAATTCTCAAAAACACAAAACAAATGCCTTAATTCGCCAACAGACTGTTAAACGAAAGGTAATTAAGAACACAACTACAGCAAATAAAACTAATTCGAGCACTCTAAATAGCCGGCCATCAGTTTCTAAAAATAAGGGAACACAATTTGTAGAGAAACCCAGTTTATCAAAATTAAATGCCACCATGAATTTGAATATCACCGAAGTCGGTTCGCATCCAAAGAAAAACGTGACCATTAATAAAGTTAAAAGTGATCAAGTAAACTACTTGATAAATCCAACAATTCAGTATGATGATAGTTTAACAACAGAAAAAATATCTGTATTAAATTTAACAGAGAAAGAATTAACTACCAAGGAACCAGAGGAGATTCAAGGAAATGCACAGATACCTAATATTACCTTGAAAGATTCCCATATGGAAAATTCAACTCAGGCCAATAAGATAGTTGAGGAAAAACCAGATCCTAACAAATTATCTACAATTACTGAAGAGACGCCTGAATCAATTGATACTACAACAATTAAAATTGAAACCTTAATGATTGAGCAAACGGAGAATGTGCCAATGACAGAAAAAGCTACAGAGGAAAACCAATTCTCCACGGAAATTCCCGAGGTAGTAACCTCAAATGATACATCCACAGATGAAAGGACTTTAAATGAGTTTACTACATTAGAACCTATATTAAGCACCGATAACCCAGCGACGATTGCAACTAAATCAGCAGAATACTCAACTCTTATGCCAGAGGAAATATCAACAATAGGAAAGGACGAGGAAGTAGGATCGACCCAATCAACCGAAGAACCAATAACTATCATAGAAACGACAGAGGCATCGACCACAGGGAAACCTCTTTCCGATCAAGAAGATCGGACGCTACCTTCCACTTCTAAAGAATCCGAGTTTGGAATCCCAGTATCCATATTACTTGATCCTGCGGCTGAGACGATGGAAACTACACAAGCTAACATAAATGTGTTGTAAGATTATTTTAAATAAAAATATAAAATACAAAAAAAATATTGGGTTGGCTCTTTTAATCCGTGATCAAACTTAAAGTCTCTCGATTTTCCACAGAGAACGAAACACATCGCACTAGGCCTTGTTCATTTCTAACACAATTTTCTACGCTGCGACGATCACATGTTTTCAGCACGTTTTATTTAATATCAATATTTCTTTATCGGCCTACAATGTATTGTACAATACCCCATGGACTGTTATACAAATAGGTGCCAGTCTTCTTTCTCATTGTGCATTGCACATGCCTTTTGTATAGCTAACACGCTTTTGCTGAACACGTATTTTATAAAAAGTAAACATTTTTAAAACTTAAGCGTCTTATTATGTAATTTAATTTAAATTTAAATTAACACCACGTTTCCTTTTGACTAACAAATATCTTAAAAAGCGATGTTTTCAAAAAATTAACTTTTTTGGATTCTTATAAATTGATGTCATTATATAACTCGGAGTTCAACTGAGGGCACTGCTAAACGGTGGACACAACTTTATTCAATATTAGTTTAATAGTCTGTGAGGTTTTGTTTGATCTCTATTTGGCAAATATATATAATGCAATTAGTTTACTGAAAGCAAGCCTATCACCGCGTATAAATAGCAGCGCGATCTGATCGAAAGGTAGTTGTGACTTTGGCAGAGTAAAACACTAACTAAATAACCATGCGGTCTTCCACTTTTCTGATGGCCATCCTGGTAATTACCATGCTCATGGTGCTCAGTGCTCCGACAACAGAAGGAACTTTCCTTCTCATCGCTTGCATGCTGCAGTCTCCACTGTGCCCATGGATCACAACCACCACCACTACTCCCAAAAAGACAGATTGAAAAGATACCACTGCCGATAGACCACTTGACAGCACTTTGGATATATATATACCTATATAGAAAATAAAATCATTTTTTGTTGCATTACATTATTGAATTTTTTTGAAGGGTATGCATGTGTTATCATTGACTACGATAACGACGGAAAAGCAGAAGAAATTTAATTTTTAGACACCTATCCCATTTTTAAAAAGAAGTCAAATGGAAGTAATTTTTTGTCTTATATTTTCTTCAAAAATATCATAAGCAATCACAATTCTTCGTTCACATTTGAAATGCAATTGCTGCACTAGTTAGCTAAGACTATGTTCAATTCCATTGGTAGTTTTTACATTATTGATATTTTACAGGGTGCAAATGGCCGAGTTGGCGACTCATTGAATGCGATTGGTAACGGTGGACTGCTGGACGTAGTTGGCCAACCATTCGCCCACCTGGGCCTTGTTTACTGTTAGCCACTTGATGTTGGCCTTGACCGCTTCCAGCGCCTGTTGGCGAGCCGTAGTTCCGGCTCCCGCCTCGGGATACTTGGTAAAGAACTGCTGCATCTCCTCCAGCTTAGTTTCGGTGGAGAAGCGAGCAGTGATCGTGGGGATCAGTCGACCCAAAGTGCGCTCATTGATGCCAAAACGCTCCACCAGCTTCTCCCAGTTCTCGCGCACATAGTCCCAGACCAGGCTCTGTCCCACCGGGTTGGTAGAGATGTAGCCCAGCAGGGTGAAGTAGTCCTGACGGCGCACATTGGTCTCGTCCCAGGCCCAGTTGATGTAACGCTGCAGGAGCCACGGCACCTGCACGGCGGCCAGGCAGTTCATCAGCTTCAGCTTCTCCTGGGCATCGCTCTCCTCGAGGTACAACTTCCACACCTGATCCCAGGCAGCCTCCGTGTTCACTTGCTGCAGGCCGTAGTAGTAGACGACGTCCCGAATATCGGGACTGGGTCGGGTCTCTGGACTGGCCAGCCACTGGTTGAACAGCGTGACAGCCTGCTGCAAAGAGCTCTCGTGTCCCAAACTGCAGGCTGAGCTCAGCACCTTGATGCGAAGGCGACTAAAGAAAAGGAAATATAGGTTAGTTTATGAAATACGTTACAGGTAAATATCTCTTACTTCGCCAGATGATCGGTGCCCACGGTAAAAGTAACACTCTCCACAATCGGCGTTAGCAGTTTGCGGGCAAAGGTAGTGTAGTTGCTGTACACATCAGTGTAGTAGACGCGATTCCTCAGCGTGGCCAGGGAAGCGGTGCCCACGCTCCAGGGCACGTAGTCCTGCTCGCTTTCCAAATAAGAGATCAGATCGAGGGCCACGGAGTAGCTAAGCTGTCCGGCAGCGGCCAGGGAAGTGGCATCGTTCAGCAGATGAGCGCGATCAGCGGTGGTGAACGTTTCCCGCGAGGTCTTCAGAGCACTCGTAAGCTCTGCCCACTGATCAACGGCATAGTTTACGCGGTAGTATCCCACCTGATCCTTGTTGATCTTGATCCAGGCGGCAGCTGCCGAGAGCGAGATAGTGGCCTCGTTGTCGTTGTGGTTGAAGATAATCGACTGGGCTTCGCTGTTCAAGCTGCTCGTGTAGGTGATGGGGATCGACCAACGGTAGCTAGTTTAATGGAGGGAATATTTATTAGTATTATATTGAAACATTTTATAAAATTCCACCTACTTGAAGGAGGAAGCTTCAGCTTCGGCTGCGTAGTCATCCTCGTTGGCCAGGAATCGCTTTTGGGTGAGCTTGTAAGTGGTGCCACTCTTCTCCACTTCCACAACTGGGAGACCCATTTGCTCCGTCCAGGTCTGCATGATCTGTCTGTAAATTCCAAAAAAAAAATTAAAACTTTAGAAAGGGCATTCTTTTAAGCAGTCAACTTTACTTACTTCACATCAAAGTCGAGTCCCTGCTCCTCCTCAACTGCGGTTAGGTAATCATCGGTGGTGGCAGTGCTGTAGATATGTCGCAGTAGATAGCGAGTGGTGGCGTTCCTCAGTTTCTCCTCGCCCACCAGATTCTCCAGCATGCGAACCAAGGCGGCTCCCTTGGAGTAGGTGATGGTATCGAAGTACTCAGTAATCTCGGCCGGGCTCTCGATGGACTTGACAATCGGATGGGAGGCCAAGGTGGCATCAATGGTCAGCACCGGGTGCAGTTCCTCAATTACAAACTGATTGTCCATGTCCCATTCTGGGTGCATCTGCTTCACGCCCTTGTACTCGATGAACGAGGCGAATCCCTCGTTTAGCCAAAGGTCGCTCCACCAGTTCATAGTCACTAGATTACCGAACCATTGGTGGGCCAACTCATGAGCCACCACGACGGCGACGCGCTGCTTGTTCACACTGGAACTGGTTGATTCGTCGTAGAGAAGAGCGGTCTCCCGGAAGGTGACCAATCCCCAGTTCTCCATTGCGCCGGATACGAAATCGGGTATGGCCACCATATCAAGTTTGGGCAGGACGTACGAGACGTTGAAGTAGTTAATGTAGTAGGCAGTCACTCCGGCTCCAGTATCCAAAGCGTATTGGGTCTTCTCCACCTGTGCTGGCGGGGCATAAACCCTCAGTTCGATGCTGGTTCCCTCTACAGTTGTTGTTTTGTACGCGAAATCGGACACCACAAAGGCGGCCAGGTAGGTGCTCATGGGAACTGTCTCCGCGAACGTTACCTCGGTTATATCGCCATCGACATACTCGCTGGCCACCGGCATGTTAGACAGCACATGGTACTCATCGCCACTGGGACGGGCCACGGTGATGGTGAACTGCGCCTTCATAGCGGGCTCATCGAAGCAGGGGAAGGCCTGTCGGGCGTAGGTGGGCTCGAACTTGGTGGACACTATCTGCCTGGAAGGGGAATTCATATATATTAGTTTTTGTGTAATAATAAGAGCCTTAAAAGTAAGGTAATATAAATTATTTTATACTCTAAATATTCTTGTAAGTAACAATTTTTATACTAGTCTCACTATTTTTTATCTTACGTATTGATATATACAAAATAAAATTATAGAAAAAATCCGATAGGTAATGCCATTTCATGTTGGTTTTAAACTAGATAAAAATAAAATTTAAGATGGTGATATTTACTTATAAAATACATTTAAATAATTAAATTTCTATTAATAAATAACTTTAAAATGGTTATGACTCAAATTATGTTAGTCTCGCTACTTTTTATCCATCGTCTTAATATATAAAAATAAAAATATACAAAAAAATAAAAATAAAAAAAATAAAATCTTAGATGGTGATACTTACTTATAAAATACATTTAAACATTAAAATTTCTATAAATAAAGAATTCTAAAAAAGGTTTGACTAAAAAATAATCACACATTCTTATAGCTAGGTTAGTTTATATGCTGAGGGATTAGGAAAGTTAGTAGCTCGGCTACCTGGAGCGGTTCTTCAGTTTGTCCCAGTAGTTACTCTGGTACATTCCCGTAATCCGATCCGCCAGCGATCCGCTGAAGTTGAGGTGCAGCGAGTAGTTGCCCGTCTCCAGGGGCTGCTCGAACTCGGTCACCCAGTACTCGAACTCCGGGTGGGCGAAGGTCAGCGAGGGCGTGATGTCCTTGAGCGGAGCACCCGATTCGTCCAGGTGCTTCACCTCCACGGTGCTCACATTCAGCTGCTTTACGTGGACGGGGATGAAGGAGATGGGTTCCAGGACCTGCAGGCTGATGCTTATGTTGCCGGAGTAGTTCTTCCGGTCGAGATCGGATCGCAAGTGGATGCGGTACTTGCTGGGCCTTATTTGTTTTGGCAAGCGGAATCCCAGATTCTGGAGCACCTTGCTCGCAGCTTTAATGGAGGGCGCCAGGGTGGGCATAACGCTCGACTTTCTGCTGGCGGGCACTTGAGTTGTGTGAACGCGATTATCTAGGTTGATTGTGCGATTTATTAATTAAAATCACCAAATACTATTAATCTATTGTACTAATCAGTCTCATAAAAAAAGCCAAGAACAGTGGGGCGAAAATATGCTTTGTAATGCTACAAATGCCCTTTTAAATACCAAAAATACCAAATCAAATGTGAGAAAGGTGTGAAACTTGGCTAAACCCATTTGGTATATTTTACCACGAAAAAGGCGCGCCAAATTCAAACATGATTTCACGTTACTTAGGATTTTTCTTTG